ATTGATATCTATATATCTCATGGCTAAATCAATATATAATTTAGATATTGAATCTAAAGAGGAGAAAAATAAATCAATGTCTGGAAAGGAAAAAAGTAGCAGAGAGGAGAAAGGAGGGAAACATGCCATTAATAAAAACAAATACATTTCTCCAGATTTAAAACATAAAAAATATATGTATAATAATATACCCCAAAGGTAAATGATATATCTGGTAACAAAAAATATAAAATGCACTTCCTTTAGATTCAATTAAAACTGCCATTTCAAAGTCCACGTTAAGCCCATTTGGAGACAAAGTATCTAGATCAAAAATCCACTTCATCTCACATTTGCTCAACGTGGACTCCAAATTCCCACCCTCCAATGTTTTTGTACAGTCTGAATTCTATAAAATTGTAAGGTTGTGGGGTCACTATTACGACACCTCAGAAAATGTAGAGATTGTAATTAAGGTAACCTCTTATGATATTGTAAAAGCACCATAACCACTACAGTGATGGGTGGGGGCTCTAATTAATAACATATAGAGGGGTTTGGACATGTCTTTGTCTATCCTCCATAAACGTGTGCCATTGTACTTCCCTGGGTGCATATAGGGATTGGCTAGCCACCATTGAAATCAAGTGACACTACCTACACTCCTACTTCCTAAAAAAATTTTTTACTAATACCTGTAAAAAATAAATAAAGTCAAACATGTGACAAGCACGTTTGACTTATTCCAGTGAGACTTGCCTGTCTCTCTAATGAGACTTTCTCTGTTAAAGCACTCAAGTGACAACACAAAGTGTGGGAAAGCCTACAAAGGCTTTGCCTGACGTGAATCTCAATCTGCGCAAAGCCCCCATTAAGCAAATATGGATCTGTGTTTTTTTCAACAGCTAGGTTGCATTATTATGGATTTTATTTTGGCCTGTTCTGGGGCTGAAAAAAAAAGAGATTTGAAAGAAAGAATACTTTTTATGTTCTATCCTGCCCCCTATACCAATGGTTTCCAAATCAGTCCTCAAGGCACGCCTTCCAGTCAAGGATTTAGAGATTACCCAGTTGTGTCAAGGTGTTTTTTTTTTTCTAAAAACAACGTAGACACAACTGGGTAACCCCATAAAGGCATGTCTTGAGGACTAGTTTGGAAAGCACTGCCCTGTGTTGAGGGGTAGGTATATTGAGATACCTGGAACATGGACCCTGGAAGAATTGGAGAAAACAGCAAGCTTTTCTTTATTTAGAAACATTGAAACCTATGTGTCCTTGTTAGGGGCAGTGACTGTATATATATATATATATATATATATCTCCTGCATAACACATTGGTTTGTTAGCACTGCAGTTATTGAAAGCTCTCCTAAATGACAACCTGTATAAAAATCCTCAGTTGTTCTCTGATCATTAAACCATTTTTGACAGAAATCTGTATGTTAAAAGCAAGGGGTCATAACAGATTTCACTCCATTTACATTTTTCTAACAAGACCATCACTTTCTGCTTAATAATTTAATTAAGCTGTGTTACAAGGTATGCCAAGTATATAAATGACGCATTACTTATAGAATTCTAAAGTAATCTCTTAATTGTTTTTTTGACCAGAATTCAGATTAAGCACGTTTTTAATTTACCTAAATTAAGTTTTACATTTTAAGTCATACACACTGATTGAAATTTATGCAGTCTGTGTAAACCTTATTTTTGTAATTAAGACACTGTTCTTCCCTGAATACATTACAACAATCATGCAATACATTTAAGACATATTACTTAATGTGTATTTATTGCTTATGATGTAAATGAACGCAAAATGTTATTTTGTGTATTATGCATGAGGGTCTACTAAAATTATTTTCATTTTTAAAGTGAGAACATATGCTGCACTGCTATGAGCTGTAAAATCAAAACATCCAAAAAAGCTGTAGGCATGTGAGAATAAGAGATAAGGACCTTGTAACATGCACAAGCTGCCTCACATTCAGAACACTAACCCTTTCAACGATGCAATGGAGACAGGGCCGGAATGGGGATTCCAAAGCAGCCCAGGAAAAAAAATCTATGCCAGCCCCATAAGTCATTGCGCCATATATTGTTGCATGTAATATGTAAGGCTATGTCTTGCCACCCTAGATGATTGATATATATATATATATATATATATATATATATTGCTTTTTCCAATATAAAATATTGGTCCTTTCAGAGTAAAATTTTAATTATACAGTAAGCATACTCACATGCAGACACAGACAATCTCACTGACACAAGCTGATTGATACACAGCCTCATAGACAAACAAACAATCTCACTGATATACATAAGGTCATTGACATAAAAACACAAGCTCACTCAGTAGCAGGCACACACACACACACAAGCAAGCCCACTCACTAGCAGGCGCGCGCACACACACAGCTTAATGTAGTGGCTCTGGTGTCTCTAGCCTGTCCCTGCAGGCTTTTCAATGTAAACACTGACACTCAGACGGTCACTAGAAGTGCTTCCTGTGTCAGTGCGGATTGGCTGAGATCATCAAGCTTGATGATCTCAGCCGTAGAGGCAGGGCCAGTCGAGGGGAGACCAGCAAAAGGTGAGGAAAAACACACATACACACATACATACCATGACAGACACACACCATGGCACAGACAGACCGTGACACAGACACACACACACCGTGACACAGACAGAAACACACACACACCGTAACACAGACAGAAACACAGACACACCATGACAGACAGACACACACACCATGACAGAGACACACACATACCATGACAGACACACACCTTAAAAAAGACACACACACCTTGACACACACACACACCATAACACAGACAGACTGTGACACAGACAGACACACACCATGACACAGACACACATTACATGGCACAGACAGACACACACACCATGACACACATACACACACACACCATGTCACAAACAGAACGTGACACAGATCCACACACAACGTGACACACAGTCACACTTTACATGACACAGACAGACACACACACACCATGACAAACACACACACACCATAACACAGACCGTGACACAGACAGACACACACACACACAATGACACAGACACACATTGCATGACACAGACAGATGCACACACCATGACAGACAGAGACACACACAGACACACACAATGACACAGACACACATTGCATGACACAGACAGACACACATACCATGACAGACAGAGACACACACACACACACCATGACACAGACAGAGACACAGACGCACACACCATGACACCGACGCACACACCATGACACAGACACACATACCATGACAGACACACACCTTAAAAAAGACACACACACCTTGACACACACACACACCATAACACAGACAGACTGTGACACAGACACACACACCGTGACACAGACACACATTACATTGCACAGACAGACACACACACCATGACACACAGACACACACACACCATGACACAGAGAGAGCGTGACACAGACCCACACCCACCGTGACACACAGTCACACATTACATGACACAGACAGACACACACACACCATGACATACAGACACACACCATGACAAACACACACACACCATAACACAGACTGTGACACAGACAGACACACACACACACAATGACACAGACACACATTGCATGACACAGACAGATGCACACACCATGACAGACAGAGACACACACAGACACACACAATGACACAGACACACATTGCATGACACAGACAGACAGACACACACCATAACACAGACGCACATACCATGACAGACAGAGACACACGCACACCATGACACAGACAGAGACACAGACGCACACACCATGACACAGACGCACACACCATGACACAGACACACACACCATGACACAGACAGACACACACCATGACACAGACACACATCCCATGACACAGACACACACACCATGACAGACACACACACATACACTCACACACATAATTTCTACCTGTGTGCTGGCATGGGGAGCTCTGATGGCGGCCGCATGGGGGAGCTGGCTGTTCTGGCGGCCGCAGGGGGAGCTGGCTGTTCTGGCAGCCGCAGGGGGAGCTGGCTGTTCTGTCTCTGCTCCCCCTCCCCAGCGCGCCGCTTAATGAGATCGGGGCCGGAATATGACGTCATATTCCGGCCCCGGTCTCAAGGAAGTGCGCTGGGGAGGGGGAGCAGAGACAGAACAGCCAGCTCCCCCTGCGGCCGCCAGAACAGCCAGCTCCCCCATGCGGCCGCAGGTGAGCCAGCTGCCTGCCCGGCCCCAGGTGCCGACGGCCCACCGGTAAATTTCCCGGTATCCCGGTGGGCCAGTCCGGCTCTCAATGGAGATAAGCAATGATCAGCACTATTTTACTTCAATTAAAGCAAGACAAGAAAAAATTAACAAAGCTGTTGATAATGCCATAACCACTGTATTGACAGAGAAGTCCTTCAAGTGGTTTAAAGATTAGCTTCCCCCAGAACTACCTAGCAACTTGAGAAGCACTGATCAGGTGGTTTTCTACAAAATAAATTATGTTAGGGTCTAAGAAGCCTGACTAACCATCATTAGCCTAGAACAGGCATGTCCATCTCTGCCCCCCAGGTGTTGCTAAACTACACCTCCCTTGATTCTATGGCCATCTTTTGAAGGCAGAATTTTAGATATCAGAAAGAATGTATTCCTTTGTAATACTTTAATTAGTTGTTTATATTATTCACTAGACTTGTACATTGTTAAAAAAATTTGGTCTGACCAAATTAATACGGCCAAATAAAAAATATGTAAATCGAAGGCATGTCCGACCGACCATGCAAGCAGAAGTGTAAGGCAACAGCTCTGATTCGGGTGAACCTAATCCACTTAATATCTCAGCCATCACACATCATGGGGAATAAAAAACGTGATTCCACTCACACTAAAGATCTAAAGATAACATCTGGATCTCGATAGCATCCTTTAAAAAAAATTCTTCACAGAGAAATTTGACGGCGATCCGGAGGCCTCGAGATCCAGCATGGCGTCCCGCGTGGCCTCACTATCGGCATTACAAGCATGCCTTTGCTTATCGGAGTCATCTGTGACCCCAGACACAGACATAAAGGAGCTATTGCTCAGATTACCATCCAGAGAGGATATCGCTAAGATGCTTGTTGATCTTGATACCTCCATACAAACAAAGATATCTGAACTTGGAGCAGGCCTGGACTCATTGGATGCACGAGTACAACAACGCGAGACCACAATAGAGGCCCACAACTCTTAACTGCCGGCCTTGCAACAACAAACCAGGAAGAACATATCCAACATTACCATGCTACATAGATACATGGGGGGTTATAGATAACAGGGTCAGAAGAAATAATATTTGGATCAGGGAGATACCAGAGCCCATATCGGTCTCCAAAGATATACACCTTATATTGACAGAACTATTTAACTCCATTCTGCAATGTCCACGGGACACTGGCATTAAAACAGATAGAGCACACAGGGCATTGAAGCCTAAGGGCAGATCTGATGACTTTCCACGTGACATTATATGTTGCCTTCATGATTTCCCACTTAAGGAAGCCATAATAAGAAAAGCCAGAAGCACACCTGCCCGGCGTTTCCAGGAACACCCGGTCCAGCTATACCAGGACCTATCCTGGATTACAATACAAGGAAGACGGGCCCTAATACCAATTACCAGCCAGCCAAGGGACAAGCAGCTTAAATACCAAAGGGGATACCCATTTTCTCTCACAGCTACGGTGCATGGAACCACAGCCATGATATACACCTCCAAGGATGTCCCAACATTTGCACAAGCATTCAGATTACAAGAGGTTCATGTTCAGGACTGATTGGTATTAAACCTACTATGCCACAACCACAGCAGCGCAGAGAAATATCTGGACCCAAGAAAAGGAAGAATCCACCTGGGAACCTACCAGGAGTTCCAAAGGTCTCACAACCTCATCATTCTAAATAGACATGAGGCTCTAATTTATGACCAACACTAGTTCCAGATTGCTACTAGCTGCAGCAGCTGATGCCAAATGTGGAGCTGAGAGGTATGCTTACTGTTTAGTTAAATTCTGTTTTTTACTGCTTGACCTTCAACACTGTATGGAATAAAGATCAGGTTAAATTAATGGAAAACTCTGAATGTTGAACATCCCGGAGAGACGGCAACTCCTCCTTGCTGAGTTAAAATGGCTGGCCTCGGATGTGGCACTCATTCAAGAGACCCACTTCCGACCATAATTTGGGGAACGGTGGTTAATGTGGATTAAGGCCTTCTATACCGCTCCACAGGCACAAATACAGGTTAACGGCACATTCTCTGACACTTTGCCCATTCAAAATGGCACAAGACAGGGGTGCCCTCTGTCTCCTCTGCCGTTCATATTCACCTTAGAACCCTTCATAAATGCCATCTGTTCAAATTATAACATCTCTGGTATGACAGGCCATACTTCCCAATATAACATTTCTGCCTATGCAGATGATCTACTCTTCACAACTACTAACTCTGAGTTCTCCCTTAGACACCTAATCTCTGAAATGAACACGTACTCAAAAATGTCAAACTTCAAAATTAATTATGAAAGAAGTGAAATACTTCCTCTTCTGAACACAGACCAAGCCTTGCACACATCAAGTTCTCGTTCCCTTTTACATTTACCACAGCCCATATCAAATACTTAGAAATAAAGATCACCCCACAACTAAAAGACCTCTTCGCCCATAACTATACAGTGCTGCTACAAACCTTAAAAGACATAGCAAATTGGAATAAACAACTTATCTCATGGATAGGCCCATTAACATTATTAAAATGAAGATATCGCCATGCCTACTCTACTTATACCAAACACTATCCATAAGAGTTCCTCCATCATTTTTTGCATCTATGCGCAAATTACTCACTGATTACATCGGTTAGACTTTCTTTTAACACACTGACCAGACCAAAGAGACAAGGAGGACCAAGACTCCCCAACCCATTTCACTACTATCTAGCAACACAATTTACTAGAATATTAGAATGGTGCAACAAGGACAGTTCCAAACAATGGAAATTGCTAGAACAGGAATGGACAAAATTCCCACTAGCATCACCCCTCTGGCAGACCAAGTCAATATCTCATTTCCTACAAGGACACCACCCCACAATAAGCCCCTAATGCTCTTACTGGCCCACTGGCCCCACTCTCTCCAATATCTCACAACCCAGCTTTCCCACCTGGGAAAAATGGACTTCAATAGCCTAAACCAACCCTTTTCCAATATGTATCATTAACAGAAGTCATCAATGGCAGAAAGACTAAACCTATTCCTGTACTATGCCAAAATGTCAACCCCACCTTCATGGACAATCTCTGGTATTATCAACTGCACCAATTCATAACATCACTGAAACATCTAGATCAGACACCACAATACACTAAATTTGAAACATGGTGCACTCAACATTGCCCTATCCATAAAACAACAGGTCTTTCACCACCTAAATACACAACAGACTGGGTCATAGGACTGAACACAACCATTACACCATCAGAATGATCCAAAATGCTTCTTACCCACAGAAACATTATGGACATGTCAATGGTAGAGACCAACTAAAAGTTACTTTCAATATGGTACAAAACACCTCTAAAGATACACAAAATTTACCCAACAATATCTGATAAGTGCTGAAGGTGTAACAGAGAAGAAGGCACATATCATCACATCTGGTGGGACTGTATAATACTGCAAGGGTATTGGAATCAAATACTCTCACCAGTAGCACGAGTCGCTAATATCCCGAGACCCTACTATTTCCTAAAATATTTCTCTATTTAACTCCTAAACCCATAAAACAATACCATAAATCAGTTGAATATTATTTATTATCTCCCGCCAAGGCCCTAGACAACAATCACCCACTCTCCACACACACACACACTCGCTGAATGGTACTCACGAGTACAATGTATGATGTATGAAAGAGATTAAATACTCCATGTCTGGCCATACTACACATTACCCATCGACTTGGGCTGCATGGCTCAACCATATGACAGAAAAAGATAAATCGAACATATAGAAACACTAGCAGACACATGTCAACTCCTGACTTATAACATTCGCCACAGACACTAGAACATTAATTACGATAGCGAATGCCAGTACTGATATGGTTGCTATGACGGGACATAAGACACAGGTGCCAGGTGACTTAGGAACCTGTGACATATGCATCCATTTGTACCAATTCTAGACACTGCAACACAACAAACACTTTGAAAAGAAAACCAACAAATGTGCCCAGGTTTACTTTTATGTTCTTTACTTTTATGTTTCTTTTTTTTCTGTACAGTTTACTTTTATGTTACATTACCATGTTTCGTTTGCTATGTCAGGATATAACCATTGAACACCTTGCCTTGAAGTGAGTAACACACATCCTATACCATGTTCCATATCAAGAAGGAGTACAAACGAGATAGGTGGAGTGAGTGCCGTAGTAATACGGTAGTACTATACCAATAAGACACCACCTACACTAAAAGTAATATATATGTATGCAACCTTATCACTATGCCAGTATGGCACATATTGAATATTGAATATAACTTTCACTGGAATGCATTTAACTGAGATATGTATGTTACATTGTTAATATTTGCATTGTAATATTGATGTACTCACACTATATTTAATTTGTATTCTTTCTGATAAAAACCAATAAAATATGAACAAAAACAATTTAATTCAGCCAACTGAATTTTGTAAAAATACGTTGATTCATCTCATCTAAATATTAGCCATGCAAATGATTCACTGATTCAGGAAAACCTATCTGGATGAACCAAATGAACTATTTCTTTAAGAGTCACTTTATTGATGAAGCCACTGTACTAGTGATGTTCCGAACGGTTCGCTGGCGAATAGTTCCTGTCGAACATCGCTTGTTCGAGTTCGCCACGGATGGCGAACATATGCGCTGTTCGGTCCGCCCCCTATTCGTCATCATTGAGTAAACTTTGACCCTGTACCTCACAGTCAGTAGAAACATTCGAGCCAATCAGCAGCAGACCATTCCTCCCAGACCCTCCCATCTCCTGGACAGCATCCATTTTACATTCATTGTGAAGCTGCATTCTTAGTGAGAGGAGGGACAGTGTAGCTGCTGCTGATTTGATAGGGAAATTGATAGCTAAATTGTAGTGTCCACTACAGTCCTGATCTCATCTGATCTCTCTGACCTCACTACCCCCCACACCCTCAGCCTCACTACACCCCACATCACCCCCAGCCTCACTACCCCCCACACCACACTCAGCCTCACCACCCCCAGCCTCACTACCCCACACACCACCCTCAGCCTCACTAGCCCCCACACCCTCAGCCTCAATACCCCCCCACCACCCTCAACATCACCACCCCCCACACCCTCAGCCTCACTACCCCCCAAACCCTCAGCATCACCACCCCCACACCACCCTCAGCCTCACTACCCCACACCCTCAGCCTCACTACCCCCCACACCACCCTCAGCATCACCACCCTCAGCCTCACTACCCCCCACACCACCCCCAGCCTCACCACCCCCAGCCTCACTACCCCCACACCACCCCAGCCTCACCACCCCCAGCCTCACTACCCCCCACACCACCCTCAGCATCACCACCCCCACACCACCCTCAGCCTCACTACCCCCCACACCCTCAGCCTCACTACCCCCCACACCCTCAGCATCACCACCCCACACACCACCCGCTCGGAACCTTGACGCACCATCCTCCTCCAGCTTAGATTCGGGTGGGGAGGCTAAGGGTGGTGGTGAGGCTGGTGGGGACGGGTGGGAAGGCTGAGGGTGGTGGTGAGGCTGGTGGGGGGGTGGGAAGGCTGAGGGTGGTGGTGAGGCTGGTGGGGGGTGGGAAGGCTGAGGGGGGAGTCTGGGGGGGGTGGTAAGGCTGGTGGGGAGGTGGGAAGGCTGAGGGTGGTGAGGCTGGTGGGGGGGTGGGAAGGCTGAGGGTGGTGAGGCTGAGGGTGTGAGGCTGGTGGGGGGTTGAAGACTTGAGGGTGAGGCTGAGGGCGGAGGCTGGTAGGGGTGGGAGGCTGGTGAGGGAGGCTGAGGGGGTGAGGCTGGTGGGGAGGCTGAGGTGTTGAGGCTGGTGGGGGTGGGGAGGCTGCGGGGAGAGGCTGAAGGTGGTGTGGCTGGTGGGGGGGAGGCTGAGGGTGGTGAGGCTGGTGGGGGGGTGGCGATGCTGGTGGGGGGAGGCT